GAGTAGTAGAAGTTTATAATTGGCAGAGACTATCGTGTCAAATGGGTGAGATAATGTAGAGTAGCATATTAGATCCAAAATAAAATGATGCATTCATATCATGCTAATGAGATTCACGATAGTCTCTTTTCAATCGTATATGCTAAAACAAAAACTACATATTCCTTTGAACATTCTTTTTCGTGTAGTCGTTCAAATGTGCAAAAATAGAAATTACCAATCTCTAGCTATTACTAGAACTTTTGGCCATCTTTTATTCCTGTTATCATAAAACTTCATAGAACGACACTTAGCTTTCAAGAAAATCTAATCGACACATGATATTACGCATAAGTGTCGTATTTGTCTGAAAGTTTAATAAAATGTGATGTTTTTGATCATTCTTTATCTTCAATAATGAAACCAACAATGATAATCGTATTTTTTAAATTGGATTTTTTGCTAGTAATTTAACGAGGAAACAGAAAGTATGCATACAGTTTATTTGCTCCAACTGTAACAAGTTTGTTAATATGCACACACATTATCTATAACTATAATCTTTTAAGTCGTATATCACAGTTAGGCATGCACCAATACCAAATCCCTTGGTTTTGATGGTTTTGGTTTTGATATGGCTTTGGTTTTTATGGTTTTGGTTTTGACATAGTTTTTGGTTTTGAATTTTGGTTTTGACACAGGTTTTGGTTTTGATGGTTTGAATTTTGATATGGTTTTGGTTTTGAGGTTTTGGTTTTGATATAGTTTTGGTTTTGGCATAGGGTTTGGTTTTGATGGTTTTGGTTTTAGCTTTCAGATAGTTTAAAACAAATTATATGTCAAAACCAAAACCAAAACCAAAATCAAAACCAAAACCAAATCTATCACTAGTATCATTATAACCAAAACCTTCAAAACCAAAACCTATTCCAAAACCAAACCCTATGCCAAAACCAAAACTATATCAAAACCAAAACCTCAAAACCAAAACCATATCAAAATCCAAACCATCAAAACCAAAACCTATGTCAAAACCAAAATTCAAAACCAAAACCATACCAAAACCAAAACCATCAAAACCAAAACCTATGTCAAAACCAAAATTCAAAACCAAAACCATACCAAAACCAAAACCATCAAAACCAAACCTATGTCAAAACCAAAATTCAAAACCAAAACTTCAAAACCAGTTTTGGTTTTGGTGCATGCCTAATCACAGTAAAATTTATTAATCATACAAAATTCTTATAATCATAAAACTCGTCGAATAGTGGGGCCTACAGAACTTCACAATTTAATGCATGCGTTGAATACAAACCCCAATACGCTTGTAACTAGAAAAACTCCTTAACGTTGACGTAGTTAGAAGAAAAATACGTTGGCCTAACATGAAAAAAGTATGATCAATAAAGATAAACATATTGTTATATTTGCAGTTTATAAGTTTACAAAGAAGTTTATCAATGTTGCTTATAGTGCACATAAAGTAAACGAACATTTAGAGGAAGAATAAATCAGCATTCATCAGTAGAAAATCATAACAATGATAAAAATTACTATAGAGGTATCTGGAATTAACTATCAATCCAAATATCAGTAAAATAAAATAAAATATGTATTCAGCAACATTTGTAAACAAGCTCTGAAGTATCATCATCACTCAGTCATGTGGTAGTAAAGAGTCTGTTTGTGTTTGATGACAGAGACATTGAACTGCGTTCACTGAGAAAAATTCTCCTTAGTTCAAATTACATTACAGTAATAATCTTAAGTATTATGGACTTCTTCAGAAAAAATGTTCCAAAAGTTCAACCGCTACCGCACCGCTGCCGCTATAGTATTTTAAAAAATCTACCGCGCCGCTACCGCACCGCGCCGTCTTATTAAATTTTTTTGCCGCTGCCGCGCCGCTTCCGCCATCGCGGTAGCGGTAGCGGCGGCGGCAGCGCCGCCATGGACATCTATGCTATCAACACTAAAACTAATGAAGAATCTAAACATATTAGTTGTAATTTTTTTTCGCTGGATTTTCAACAAAAAACCAAAACTTTATGTTTTTTTTCTTACATAATTATCCACGGATCATACAGCAACCGTTTAAAATAGTTCATTATTCAGTGTATCTTTATTTGACAATATTCCCTTAAGATAAATATTATGATATAAAAGAAAGATCATGTCCAGCATGAGGTTTGAATAATTGAAAGAAGTAACTATTTCGAACTTATGCCAGTTGATAGCGATGTAGTTCATTGTAAATGCGAACGATATTATTAGCGGTGTTCTAATCGAAACAGAATGATTGATTGACTATGAAAAAAAAATTGTTTTCAAGAAATCAAGCGTTTTAACTATTTGCAATGGTATTCAATTTACAAAACAGACCTTCGAACTAGGATCGATATTGGAGGGAAGAACTTTTCATAAAGTGATAAATCGATTTTGAAGTGAACTTTTTCATATATGTTTCGTTCATATATTCCAGAGCATTGTTTTACATTGTAGCAATCAAAGTTCGAAATGAGATTTTCTAATTTTATTTTTTCAGTAACCATATTCTAGTCTTTTGATATGTTCATAATCTTCAAGATCATATCCGTAGCACAAGAAGCTATATTGAATCAAGGAATAGTTTCGGCTTGTCTAAATCTCTGACAGACAATCGATGTTTCGAAGATTACTTTTCGAGCAAGTACTAGTCAAAAAAGCTGACTGTTCAATAGATAGTACACAAAGGAATATGCATGAAAGTGATCAAATCTAGACAAAATTCTAATGATTTTTTTGACTATCAAAGCTAAAGAAATGGTACATCATCTTTAAGTTATTTCACATTGAAAAAGACAGTCGGTTGGTTACTTATAAATTATACCTTCGTAATGTTTTATTTGTGAGTGTTATGTATCACAATTATTTTCAAATTTAAAATTTCAAGAAGAAGTACTGTAATAAAAAATATTTTTTATCTAGTTCAACGTACACATTCACATAAATAGCTGCTTTTTTGTGTATCATTTAATCATTTTATAACCTAATATTACTCTATCTCCTGTTATAGAACTCAAAGACAAACGAAAAATATAGAAAGCATGTAATCATCATGATATAAAACAGAGAAGAATGAATTATAGGGATAAGAAGTAATAAAATTGTGACGATAATTGTTAGAAGGGATGTTAGTGCTGATGAAGTTACACTTTATTCTAAACCTTCATATCATATAATCGTATCGTTTACATAAAAAGCACACGCTTATATACGCAAGTAGAATAAGAGAGGAGATGAGGCCAAGGAGAGAGCAGATATTAGGAGAACAATAGAGTAAGGACAGAAGCATAAGAATAGAAAGGTAAGGACAATGTATAACATACGAGTAAGTGATATGGGAAGGTTAAGTATCATGTATGAAATCCAATCAACCGGGATCGTTACAAAAATAAAGTCACATAAGAAGTAAATGTGTCGATGTATCATAAAATAAATTGACTTTACTTTTTCAATAAAATGTTCGTTTATACTTTTCTACGGATACTTAAAGCTAAATAAGAATAGTATGGCCGTGTTGGGTGTGTATAGACTCTTCAGTCACATTTACACCCATACGCATACCCTTTTTCGTTCCTACTCAATTCATTTCTATATAAATTAGACAGAAATCTTCTATGTCTACGTTTCAGTAACATTATATTTAAAAAAACAACAACTCAAGAGTAGGGACTATTTCTCAAGGACAAAATATCGGGGACATCTTCCTGCGACGACAAAAAGGAAGAGGTATTATAACCAAGACATTATTGAAAGAACATTTTAGCATGTATTCTGTTACTACGACAAAAGAAGCATACGAATACCCGTCCACGATAACATTACGGTGATTCGTAATGATTCAGTTGAACATAGAATTTCATTGTCTATCCGAAATTTGCAGTTGAGACTACGATAAAAGCAACCAAATATTTGGCGCTAGTGTCGGATTTTGTATCAAATAATGTTTTCCTTGTCATTAGAATGAAAGAAAAAAACTTTTTTTTGACTTTCTTCACCCGAGAAATTCTTGAGACAAATTAAGATTGAAATTTGAATAAACTAATTTCTTTTTCTTTTCTAAAACATAAAAATATTGATTTCGAAGAGTCCAGAAGATGCAGGAACAATTTTTGTGAAAAAAAACCACTTAAGCAGCCTCTACGTTGTCCATATTTACTATGAAGAAATTTCCAGAAGAAAAATGAAAGTGAACGAAATACTTAACTCGTTTATTTACTCAACTCATTCAAGACATACACTTTACATACAAAAGGCGAACAAATTTCTGTCCCACTGGTAATGAAATTCTGACGACATGGGTTTTTTTTTCATTCTGTTATCTGACTCGAATATATTTTTTTTTGTGTTTATTTTGGTTTGCTTCGTAGAGTTCTTAACAGAACGAGAAAACGTTTTTGATTGGTCACGAGTAATAAACACATTGAGTCGCGGAAGAGAATCGACAAAAAGAAAAACAGAATAACACAACTTACAATAGAAACTAACATTCTTTTTTTAAGTAGTTGAAATTATTTTTTTATTATTCTCATTCGATGATAGCATGCATTGTGCGTCAGATCCATAGTCATTTGAAGGATTCGAAAAAAAAACGTATCGTTGATTGCGAGAATGAGTGAAGAAGTGACTTTTCAATACAATTTTACAGTTTACCATATAGAATTTTTTCGTTTGATTTCGATGAACATTTTTATATGAGATATTGAGCATCCTAAAAGTCACTACGAAATGAAAATTTAATATTTCAATCGTACTGTGAACAGATCAACATAGTTGTTTTTTTCCGCGGAGAATAGAAGCAAGCTACGACTTGGACATACATCAAAAATCTATATATATATATATTTCGAATAAATCATTGAAGAATTTTGAAGAAAAAACATTGTTGTTAGGATTTCTGGATAGTTCTATTTTTAAACTTTTACCATAAAGAAAATGATATGATCGGTTTGACAATTCTTTAGATACTTTTCGACATGGCCACAACAAAATTATCAACAGGTAGGAAGTCTAATAGCAAAAAAACAACAAATGAATTCTTGTGTCTTTTTCATAGGTGCAACAGCTGATCTGGCTGAATCCCGTGAGGTTGCCAGCAGTGCAGGGTCTAGCGCCAAAAGTTTTCATCTAATCTGGTTAGCTGATGAAGTTGAAGAAATCAAGAAAAAGTCTCCCCAATCATTCACTTATCTACAAGGTATCTTCGGTTCCTTCGAGGTATTCAGCCAAAGCGATTTGGGTGTCAATTTCCTCTTTGAAAACACCAATAAAAAAATCGTCATGATTGTCTCCGGTGGTTTTGGCCAAAACACAGTACCAGCTATACATGATATGCCCCAACTAAAGTCTATCTTTATTTTCTGTCACAAAGTAGCTTATCACGAGCAATGGGCGAAAGGATATCTGAAAGTAAAGGGTGTATTCAATAAAATTGATACTTTATGTCAAGCAGTACAACAATCTGTACAATATCATGAACCCAGTCCACCTAAATCGACAACTCTTATGCTAAAGCCTTCGCCTGCCAGACATCGTTCACGCACACCGGAGCCATCACCATCACGGGCAACTCGCCCTGATAAAGTGCCCACAGTTGACGATCAACGGCCATCACCAAGCCATTCACCGAGAAAAGAAGATGGCAGCCATGATTCTTCTCTGGTTAATCCCTTGAAACCAGCAATGAGAACCAAGCCAAATTCGCAAGAAAGGTTACCGTCGGCCTTGGAGCGACTTGAAAAGACTCTAATTACAACAGCTGAACAAAACCTACGACATAGTCTTACTGAAAGGAATAATATCACTCAAACGACATCGTCTAACGTTGCTGTAATAGATCGTTTACAAGCTACTCTTGTACAAACAATCGAGAAACATATGGCGACGAAAAAAGATGACTCTGTGGAACTGAACAAAATGTTCACCGAACTAAAACAAGTAATAGTTGATGCAGTTGTGCAACAACAGTCTACAGTATTACAAGATGTCATCAGACAAACAGTACTCGATGCTTTCAAGGAACAGCAGAAACCAACATTGGAGTCTTCTTCTCCTTCTAGTACTATTGAAATGACACGTGAGCGAAAACCTATCATTATGACGAGTAAACCCGAGGTTAAAATTGCTGCTGATCGTAAGAAGACACGTGTCGATGCTAATTTTCGACAACAACGCGATGCTGTTGTTGCCAATAAACAATTACGTGCTGCCGTTCAACAATGGTCATCAATAAAATCAATGGCTGATCTTGCTGCCGAAATCAAGAAAAACGGAAAAAACGATTTAGAACGTGCATGGTTACTCTTCTGTTGGATTGGTCAAAATATTCAATATCAACCATATTGTAATAACAATGCTGCAGAAACTGTTTTTCGTACAAAGCAAGGTGTTTGCCGAGGCTTTGTTAGTCTCTATCATGAATGTTGCTCATTGTTAGGTATTGAATGCTCGGAAATAGGTGGATATTCTAGACAAGCTTTTCTTAAACCAGGTGAAGAACTCAAACAATCACTTCATGCTTGGAATAGTATTGTACTTGATCAATACACTTATCTAATTGATCCAACATGGGGTGCAGGAGGTAGAGATTATGACAAAAAACTTGAAGATTTCTACTTTCTTACATCACCTGAAGAATTTATCTATACACACTATGTCAACGGATATCAATTACTCGATCCAGAAATCAGCAAAGAAGAATTTCTTGTCTTGCCTGTAATGAAATCAACCTACTATAGACTCGGTTTGAAATTGCTATCACCCAAACAGGGTTTAAATGAGACAAATCAAAATTTATTTAAAATTGCAATTCAAACACCGGCACATGTTGATCTGTTTGCTGATTTGAAAGTCGGAGATATTGAGTATCCACGCAGTTTGCATACATTATGTCAACGAGATGAGACCAAAAGTGATATTTACAATTGTTTTATTGCTCCACCACTCGATGGTCTCTACGAAGTAGGTATCTTTGCAAAAACGAATGATGAAACTATGTACATAGATACGATCAATATGCGTTTGCGTGTCTCAAATATAGCTGATGCATTCATGTTTCCAATCACATATGCAACTTTTACAGAACACCGTTGTATTTTGATTGAGCCTTTTCGACGTCTCGTACATGAAAATGAACAAGTATTGATTCATATGATAATACCAAATGCTAATGTAATCAAAATTAGAAACGGTGACGAATATATGGTGCCTTTCAAAGATGAATATAAAAATGGCGTATTAAAAAAACAAGTACGCGTTCAGGGTGATCTCCAAGTTTGCGGCCGATGGGACGATAAAGCCGATTCAATTTCAATTCTTTGCATCTTTAACATGATTTGAGTCTTTTCGTGTTTGAAAAATGTAAGAATGATTGAACATTTTTGATTATTGACTCGTCACACTAAGATCGTGTTGCATTAAACAATTAGATACATAGATTGTTCCAAGGTTGTGGGTGTGATTATGTTTTGATAAAGGTTGTGTGAATGTGGATGTGTAGGTGCGTGTGATTGTAACTGTGTGTGGGTAGTGGCTAGTTGTGGATGTAGGCCATTTCTTCACTTTCGCCCCTGTCTCCTACATTTACCCTGCACCGATACTCTGGAATCCCTATCTAGCTGTTTTTTCAGCACTTTCAAAACTTAGCGGAACTATATTTTTCGCAAGAGATAGAATATCTCAAATATCGTTTTGTCTCTGAGAAAAGCATGTTAGCTCGATTTTAATAAAAATGCAAAATACTATAACATACAAATTCTTCTGTTGATATTTCATATCGCAAATGAAGAAGTGATAGAGAAAGTGAAGATGAATATTTCGTACTCAATGAACTATATTGAGCAATGGATGTGTAAATACGGACTCAGTATATTATTTAAGTTCTGTCTCATATGTTGTAATTAAACATCAATACTCGAATGTTTTTTCGAACATTCTATCACAAGTTTGTTCTCATCTATGCATATTGAACGCTCTTGAAGAAGAATGTCAATTAAGAAATAAAAAATAAAAATAAAAACTTCCATTATTGTCAATCGCTGAATGATCACTGCTTTTGTTGTCAAAGTAAAGTGATTCGAATAATAATGTTTGCAGCTATTCGACTTGAAAGACTGCTAATAGAGAAACGAGTTGGTCGAATGACGTGTGTTTTATCTAAAAGCGAAGTTTTACTCAAAATAGAGCATAAAATACTTGTTCATTCTAATAATTTGTTCCAATATTTCCATTCACATAACTTGATAAAACTATATACAAGAGGAAGATATAGACGATTTGGCAGATGTGATCGAGACAAGTAAGAACGAGTAGTACTTTGATTTAACTAAGACTGAATGCTATTGTATTTGTTTGTAGTGATTGAGAAATGCATCTTTCATAGTCCAGTTCATCGTCAAATATCCAAAGATGGTAATTAATCAACGAACGAAGCTTTTTGTGAATGTGTAATCAAGTCTCATTGATAAAACTCTAATTGGTCTATGGTTTGAGTCAAACAAACGATGAACTTTATTCTTCTTGAGTATTAGTTGACAATAAAGATGCAATCATACGATCTTTTTTAGGAACAAAGAAAATGTTTGTAACTCGATTGAATATATACATCAGGTGCACTGATTTTTGAATTCTGCATCAACAATACATAAATAATTCTTGTTCTAGAAAGGGAAACTACATCTTTGATATAGTTCGTCATATTGATAGAGAGCATCATTAACAACTAATGAATTGTCGAGCCGATATTGATCACAGATACGCTGATTGATCGTAGCGTAAGGAATTAGTTGCATCTAACATCATAGTTTTATTACATTTTGATCATGGATTATCGTCAGACTAAAGTTCTTTTATGATTCTTAGAAATGATTGATGAAATCGCAAGGTTATTCATATTCAGCTGAATTCAAATAGAAAACTTTTCACCTTGATATTTTTTTGTATGGAATGTCAATTATTACATCGATCTTGACAGAGTCGTTCTTCATTGCGATCTTAGGTTGAATAATAGGTTTCATCTATGTTGTAGAGAAAAGAATTATACTCTTGATACCGAAAATGACAAGTGGAGTCAAAACAAAATCACAAGCAAATGCAAAAGGACTATCTACAATTACTATATTAGTATGACTTGCAAATCTAATCGTGTGAACAATACACCTGACATATGAATAAATAGTTATTACATGAAGCGACGTGAAAGTCATTGAAGTATATGGAAATTTTTAATCTTACACTTACATGGCAAACAGATAGATTTGAAATTTGTGATATCAACTCAAGAGCATAAATTATTTCTGTCACTTATTCTTCAGAATAATTCTTTTATTTTTGTTCCGAATCTATATTTTAGTAGAGATTTTCACAATCATGTTGCATTTCACAGAATAATAAGGCTATATTTCGAATTTATTGAACCGATAAACTCGATCTAACCGGCTTCAGAAATTATTTCCCTTGATTACTCTTCTATGGGATGTTCTCTTTTTATATCTATCAATAAAAGAAGAATACGAATCATGAAAGAGTCACCGTTCATGATACTTAGAAACAAATGATTATTCTATCTGATTTACTTTCTCAAATCACAATAATAAAAATATGATCATTGCACGAAAAACAATTCTGCCAGCTAGCTGCTTATTATTTAGCAATAATGGAAATGAATTTTCACTAGATACTAGTGTTAACACTACTTATTACTATCTACATAATTCAAGGAGCAATCATGTTTATCTAAAGAAAACATAGATTAAAAATTATTATAAATCAAAATTTTCCAATTAATTCTATAAACATATGTTTCCTCATTTGGCAATAATGTATCTTCAGTTTAAAGACTTTGACATCGGAGTACTCGAATAATAATTAGTATAAAGACATTATGGAAAGAAAGCCGTCAAAAACAATTTCTTTCAACGACTATTTTATAATTTTCAGTAATTGATGATATGTACAATCATCGAACACAAAAACACAACGAATCACTTAAAAAACATTACCTCGTCAATATGACAAAGCAATTTGGATGTTGACGATGACAAATGAGTAGAGCAGAAAAGAATTCACTATTGACGGCAAATACGTATTTATTCACCAGGTTATTGATTCACTACCTAAACGCGTGAAGACATGCTATCAAGTTATCAACCTTTATAAAAAGCTGTATTGGCATTGATTCATCATTCCAATAAAACTAAGCGTGCGTTACTCGTAGTCGATATTCAAAATGACTACTTTCCGGGTGGATTATGGACTCTATGTGGCATGGATGCCGCTGCCGACAATGCAGCTCGTATTCTTGCAACAGCTCGTGCATCGGGTGATCTTATTGTTCATATTCGTCATGAATTCACGACTAGCGATGCACTGTTTTTCAAGCCAGGATCTGCTGGCGCTCAGATTCATCCGAAACTGCAGAACTTCAAAGATGAGTATGTTGTGGTTAAACGTTACACCAATTCCTATCGAGAAACCAATCTAAAAGATATACTAGATCGTCATGGTATTCAAGAAGTAGTCATCTGCGGTGCCATGAGTCAAAATTGTATTGATGCTGTGACTCGTGCTTCGTTTGACTTTGGATATGACTGTATTATTATCCATGATGCTTGTGCCACCCGTGATTTTGAATTCAATGGAATGCCAATTTCAGGTAAATACGTGCATGCAGCATTCATGGCTGCTCTTCAATTTGCTTATGCTAAGACCATTTCCACAGACGAGTATCTCGCCAATGGAAAAAAGTAAAACCTAGAACTCATTCTTCTTTTTTTTTTTTGACATTGCACTCTTTGATGTATGATTGTCTCATTTTTTTAAAGAACTATTAGTGCTCGATGTAAAACGTGTTATTTTACTCTTCATTATTAAATTGCATCTGAAATAATATATAAAAGCTTACAGTATTAAAAGTTGGAATCATCTGTATAAAAGACATGAAATACAATATATTTGGTAAAATAAAAAGTGAGTTATCTTTTGCCAAGAGTGGTATAATTTATTTCGTATATGTGCATTGTTTCTTTGGTTCATGTCAATTGGGTAGCTAAATAAGATATTTCAAACAGGAGCTTTAATGAAGACTTCTATCTCACATCTCAACTTCACTTACGATCAGATTGACGTTTTGCAATGTTTGAATATTAACTTAAGCAGATCATCATAACTCTCTCACAGCACCGAATGACAGTAACAAAGTGAAAGTTAGAGTGAAAGTGTGAGGACGAATATGATGATGGGTAGCTGTAAATCAAATGAATGAGTCTATTTAATTAAACAGGCATTTATTTTCATACACTCACTCACTAACACTACTGGTAACAAAACCTAGGGACGACTAAATCCATGCAATTTTCACATACTATATCAGTGATACTAACCATAAGCTGACCTCAAATAACTGAAAAATGAATTAGTATGCGAAATTTTCTATCATTACCATCGAATGTCACACATGTAATAGCATTGTTATCATGAATGACAATCACAAAGTCAGTGCAATTGTCATCAATGGTAGATTCTGTTTCAGTCATGTATAACATATGACTAGACAAGATCAATAATTGATATTTTGAACTCGAAATTATCAAAGAACAAACTGAAGCAGTACATTCTCAACACTATAACTAAACCACGTGATTCATAAGAGAAGTTTAAATCGAAATAGTTCTAATAGTAATACCAAATGACACCACACGAAAAGAATCGTTCTTTACGTCGACTAGAACATTTCAATATAAAATGATCGTGAAATTAGTGTGTCACTCTGACTAGATATGGTAACAGCTGCTTCTGTTGTCTCATTTTCATTTTTCATCAGCATTAATAATCCAATATGTTTATAGAGTTTTAGCAAAACCGTCAGCAATAGAATATAGTATTCAGTGTATGACAATAATGATGAATCACATGTAAAAAATTATGATAATATAAAATTTTCTTACTCTGTATGGCATTGTGATTGCATTTCAAAGCTACTATGATTTTTTTTCTCTTTAAATTTATATTGTAATTGTTATTGTACCTTAGATATAATCCTTTATAAAATGCAACACATATCTATCTTGTCAAAAAACCTAAATGATGTTCTATTAAACTGATGTTCTCATACAATGAGTCAGTCCATATTATATATTTAAAGATTGATCATTTCAATTGACAACATTTTATTGAGACAACCAACAGTTGTACAGACACAAGTAACGATCAGGGAAACAATAACTAATATCAATAAAGGTCAAGTAAATGAAGAAAAAATTGAATCAACAGGTCAATAATGAAAATAGGGGAAACAGAAAAAATTTATGTAAATGAAATAATTATTTATGATTTATATGAAAACACAATTCAAATCTTCCTAACTACAAATCCATCAAGTTTACAAAAATGTTTTCAACAATACACAACGTATGGGTCTTAAATGGATTTCTGTTATTAAGAATCATTAAGATGCAAAAAAGTCAATCAATTTCTAAACGCAATTTAACAATTTTTACTAATAAATAAGCTAATTAACAATAAGTTATTCAAAGAAGAATATCTACAATCGATTTCAAAGATCAAAATTTTCATTAATTGTTCAATAGAGAAACAAAAAACAAAACATCAATACCATATATTTTATTTAATTAATCAGATAAGACAAACATCATTATCAATCTACAATTGTCAATTGCTTTGATTTATTCAAGGAGCATGTATAGAGAAACCTAACATTTCTTTCGAAGGTTTCAATTCATTTCTATTTTTCTATCTTCAATGATGAAAAAAATCTAAAAATATTCAATATGTGAGAAACAAACATAACTAAACTCATGATTTTTTATTTTTCTTTGTGAGTGTGTATGAGTATCTATGTCTTGGCGTTGTATTCGATTATACACTCGCTGTACTTTCGTAGACATATATTTCGCGAGTAGCACAGCAAGTAGATAAGTCATTAAAGATTTTTTTTTAATTCTCTTATACCTTGTGAGTCAGTTCTGTGCTGGCACGTTTGTTGATCGTTATCTCAACAGGCATATACTTACTTCAGTTCACACACGCACAGTAGGCATTTATTTAAACCCGCATACTCATGACACGCAAATAAACACGTTTATTTAAACATTCTTCCACTATCAAACTATTTACGATTACGTTTGTGACACATAAGAAGTGCATAATTAACCAAAGAATTAGACCCTTTCTTTCATACAGATATCTTCTATTGTCAGAAATTTCATTCAATTTCTTTTCATGGAGACTAATCGAATCTTGATTGAATCATTGTATCAGAAGAAACATAAAAGTTTTACATGTCTCTAAAGAGTTCGTCATTTCGAGTCATATTTTTAATAAATGCTCGGAACTTTATACAAAGCCATGGAAATCTCAAAGAAATACACGATTCCATTGAAATTTTGTTCCTTCCTCTCTCTCCAAACTGTTATAGAATGCGATATCAACACACTCTACATTGAACTGTTCCTGCTTTACTGTTGCAGAAAAAAATGAACAAGTTCATACTGCTTAAGGTTTTGTATATTTTCCAGATAATACCCTTGGCAATCAGCCCACAATGATTATTCTTATGATCGGAGCTGGAAATATCAATTTACAACCAGTGAGAAATTGGTTGCAAAATAGTGGTTCTAAGGTAATCTTAAATTTTTGATCACAGATTTGAAAAAGCTTTTGTGAATCAACACAAATTATATATCGCGTATACCAAAAGTGATGGCGCTAAAACTATAGTATCCTATAGAAAGTTCGAACAGAAAAATTTTTTCTACATGTACTCATAGCTCGAATAGTGTTCTATAATTCTACAAGAATTCTATCATTCTTCATATGATATCAAGAGCTTAACAAAAATATTGATAGACTAACGAAAAAAAAAATATAGAAAGAAGTTTATCAAGATTTTGTGCCATCGTATATATTCGAAGTAGTTCTCCTGATTTTTTGAGTGTGAAGTGTGATTGTGCAATGAAGCGAAGAGTATCACTCATACCCACATGCACATGAGTAAAAAAAATAGTATGTAGAATCACCTGATAGAAGTCAATAAACATTCATGAAGAAAGAGAATGATAAGAATAGATGGAATGGAATATAGTGTGTATTATTCATTATTCTCTATGAAAGATAAATAAATGAACGCAATGGTGAAATGAAGAACAAAAAAAAAGCAGTATAAACGTCAGAGGCGCCATGAAGATTGGAACAAACACATTCTCTCCATTCTTCGATTATATTGTTCACAAGAATTTTCTTAATTTAATTAACGTATGATACTTTTACTTGCTTGATTACTTTTTTTCATACCTTTTTAAAGCAAGATAGACGTTCTTTACTAGATAAATGAGCTATGTTCGGTAATATTAGTATTGAAGTATAGATTCCTAAAAGATACGGGTAGTTTATTAGAATAAAATTAGCATACTCTAAGTGGAACAAATCATAGAAAATTATGTATGCATTTTGGTATTATATAATATGCTATCTAGCTGCGCAAACCATACTAAAGACAGTATCTTCAACTGTTTCGTTTGACCGATCGAATGTTTGTATTATCAATAATAAAAAGCCAATCGAGTTCGATGCTGTTGACATTTTCGAAAGGTTCATTGATCTCTTGGACTCTTCCATTTGGTCGCGTAACTTCAATCGTTTGAATTGTTTCACGAATTTGAAAAGAACCTTTGTCGAATGTTACTTCATCAACATATGTTTGTGTACCTTTTGCTAGTTGAAATTCCGAACGTCTTTCAAATACTTCATCTCTTTGGCCTTTTATTGGTTGATATAATATTCGTACATTGACATTAGCGTTGGATTCATTTCGAATCGTACAACCATGTACAAGACATGGAGTAGCAAGGCCAACCATACCACCACGATACATGATTTTTATTAATGTTCTTGTTACTTTCGTTCGATTGCTCGATAGAGCCGGCAAAAGAACCGACAAATACAAAATACATTTTAATTGACGGTTTGCCAATGTTAAGCAAGAGAAAAAGAAAAGGAAAGAAAAAAAATGTGAGTAAAAGTGCTTCGACAATCATCGGCGTATGCATTGATGCTTGGTGTATGTAAAAAAAAACCCAGCGTACCCTACTAAGAGAGAAAATGATGCATTTATTTATTGTTAAAAAATTGTCGTACTTTGCATCACAATAGAAAACAGTCTACAGAAAGCTTTCAATACCACTCTAATTAGTTATCTGAAATAAATATAACAAAAAAACTCAAGGACGTAATGCACCTCTTAACAATAGATGCAAATCTGCTCATGGATCTCAAGTAGAAGAGAAAACAGCTAATTTGAATTTTTTGTTGACCTTGAAGGATAATGTCTTCCAAATATTTATTTAAAGAAAAACATACTTTGGACAGTTTTTCTCTGCTCTTTTTGATCAGTCAATGTAGCGCGAATGTGTGAAATGCAGAATTGAATGTCGATGTGGTTGATACGGATATCAACAGCTACAGCCACACCCACACACAATCTGTATACAGGGAAAGGAAGCATCAACGATGATATCACTAATACTTCCTATCATTGAATATCGTCATACGTGAATTGTAGCCATCAAATGAATGATCATTCACCAGTACTAAATTAAACAAGTCATTGTCATATTTTTTATAGGAGTCTGCAATTTAGGTAAAGATCCATCGATTCTTCCTATTTATTCTACTTATTCTTTTGAAGTAACATAGATGCTTAGGAATCAATAATAGAAATAGAACATTGTTCA